GCTCCTTTTTCCCCTGCCTCTAGGTGCTGTGCAAGGAGCAAACCAGACTCCAGTTTGAGTCCCAGGGAAGCAGCTTACTCACTTCCTTTCTCTGAGCCTCACTTTTCTCATCCATAAAATGGGAATAAGAGGATCTGCCTCCCAGGTAGTTGCGAGAATGAAATGAGCTCATTCCTTCATTTGATAAATATTTACTGAAGGTCTCCTCTGTGCCTGCCCCTGCTCTAGGCCCTGTAGACCCAGCAGTGAAGAAGATGGGCCAGATTCTTTTGGACAATGCCTGCCAGGTGTTCTGCAGGGGCCAGCACTTAGTAAGTGCTCAATGAAACTTGTGGGGCTAAGAATATAGGATTGAATGGGATGGCGTGTGGAATGGGCTTGGCCTGTAGGAGGAGCCTACTTCAGCACTAATTCTCTACTACTGCTGGTGGTGGCACAGCCCCCTGGCCAGAAGATGTCAAGTCCTTTGGGCCTGGGCCCCGGGTTCTCAGGCACCCAGACACAGCTCCAAGCTGCCTCCCCAAAGCCAGCGGAACTCTCTGTCCTGGAGTGATCTGCGGAGGTAGCTGAAGGGGCCTCCGGTCTTTTCATGGGGCCCCAAATTGCTGTACTGTCCCCTCAGCCATGGCTCCTCAGCTCAGCCCCACCCACTCCCTGACACTGTCCCTGCCTGGGCTGGGCCTGAGCCTGCCCTGGAGGCGCTCCCAGCTGTCCTGATATCCCCTCTGGCTTCTGCAGACACTCCCCCTTTCTGCCCCTGGAGGCCTCCTCTGGGCACCAGCCCCTCCCCCAACCTCTCCAGAGGTGTCCCCAGACATCACCCCTGTGCTATTCTTTTTTCCTGACAACTGTGGCATCAAATGTCAACCAGGCTCCGCTCAGCACAGGCAGGGTGGGGGTTCTCGATAACTGTGTGGTTTAGGGGATGGTCCTCCCGAGCCCCCTGTGGGGTGTTAGGAACGCTTGGGTGGGTTGTGGTCTGGCTCAGCTCCCAACCCACTGTGCTGCCTCGAGCAAGCCTCTGCCTCCCAGACTCTGGTTTCTTGGAGCCCACCACGGAAACCACAGCTGCCCTCTCTGCTCTCCGCTGGGGGCATGAGGATCAAGGGACACAGGCAGAGGCCAACCCCAGAGCTGACTTTCTTCCAGGTGGAAGAGGCTCTGGAAGGGGGTGCTGGGGATACAGAGCAGCTACACCCATCAGACCTCAGAGAAGCTCGTCCTCCTGTCCTCACTTGCCCTGAGTGAGCCGGGAGAGCTGGCACCGAGCACTGGGGAAGCGGGCTCCGCGGGCCTGACAGCTCAGCAGTGGCAGCAGCAGTGGTGGCAGGGGCTATTCTGAGAGCTGGGAGGGGCTGGGGAGCTGAGACTGGAGGAGGGGAAGCAGCAGGAAGGAGACAGTCTCGTGAGGGCAGGGAGGGAAGTGTCACTGCAGCCCTGGGGTGGGGGTGGGGGTGGGGTTGTCTGCCACTGGCAGTGTGCCCTGGGGGGATTGTGCTGGTGTGTGCTCATCATTGGGAGAGGTTGGGCCAGTTCAGGTACCAAGGCATGCACTGAGAATGTTTGGGTGTATAAATTTGGTGACCCAAGTGTAAGTTGAGTGGGTAAAGCACACCCCTGTAAGTGTGTGGGCAAGCGGGTGTGTGTGTATTGGAATGCGAGCGTATTTAAATGCACAGGCAGGTGTGAGTGGAAGCGCGTGTGGAAGGAGGAAGAATGAATGGGGAAGCAAGCAGGGGCTTGTTTGTGAGCAGGATGAGTGTGGGCGTGGGAGGGAGGGGAGACGGGAGCCTGAAAGCAGGCGTGGGGAGGGGGAGGGGAGTGTGAGAGCCAGCTGGTCAAGGGAACTGTAGGAAGAAGGTGAGGATCTGTGTAACTGCACAGTAATTGCACTTGCCATGAGTGTTAGGCACGTGGCAAGTGTGCACCAAGTGAGCCAGAGTGAAGGGATGCGAGCGTGTGCGTGGCCAGAGCGGGTAGGACTGTGTGACTTGGGAAAAGTAGGAAGGGAAGCTATGTATGTACAACAACAGTTAACGAAAACCGCCAGCATTTACTGAGCACTTATTCAGAGCCTGGTGCTGACATTCATAAACTTACTTAATTCTTCAAATATCCTGTGAAGGTAGTGCTATTATGATAGCCATTTATAGAGTAGGAAATAGTGGCTTCGAGCAGATAAGTGACTTGCCCATACTCTTAATCCCTATGTTATTCTGCCTCATAATGAATGTGTGAGCAGGAGCCAAGTTGGGACTGAAGAAGAATGTCGTCAGTGTGCACTGGGGGTGTGCCGTTGAGTGTATGTGTGGGGGGGGACTGAGTGTGCCAGACGTGGGCCGCAGAGGAGAGTCCAGGCAGCAGCTGTGGACACTGGGCAGGGCAGGGGCCCTAGCAGAGCCTGAGTCAGCCTCTAGGGCATCTCTGCCAACCTGGTTTCCCAGCCCTGCAGTGGCAGCCTGTGCCAGGGCCCCCAGCTAAGGATCCTCCCAGCTCTGGTATGGCCTCCAGCAGGGCCCTGTCTCACAGCTCAGAACTGCGCCAGGGCTGGAGACTGGCAGGAGGCTTTCCCGGTCTTCAGGGTACCTGAAGGGGCATCCCCATGTGGGCTGCCCAGGCGTGGAAGGCATTATGCGAGCTGTGGGAGGGAGGTCCAGCAGTCATTTTAGACCCCTTGTGACTCTAAACAGAACCACCTGAAAGGTGTGTGTGTGTGTGTGTGTGTGTGTGTGTGCGCGCGCGCGCGTGCTTGCACGGGGAGTGGGCAGCCAACAGTTCCCATGCCCACCCTCGCCTTCAGGACGTGACTCAGGCAGATGCCACGCCAGGCATCTGCAAGCTGGGCCTGCTCCCCCCGGGTGGTGAGGAGGGGCACCTCTAGCCCTACCCTCGACCTCACCCTTGGCCCTGCTCCTCAGGTCCTAAGCTGGAAGGAAGGAATTTTTGAGAGCAGAGGACTGTCTCCTATGGCCTGGGCCCAGCCCTCCCGCTGCCCAGAGGACTGTGCACCTCCAGCCTCCCCAGGAGCGAGGTACTGGCTGGTGAGGGAGTCAGGAGCTTGGGATTCTAGTCCTGGCCATGCCTTCCACTGGCAAGTCCTGGCAAATCATCTTCACACTCTGGGCCTCAGTTTTCTGATTGGCAAAGTAGGAATATTGTGCTAACGGGACACAAGGTGTTGCTAGCAGGGCAGCAAAGTGGTCTGAGCAAGCAGGGAACTGAGACAAATGTCGGGAGCTAGGGATAGAGAAGGTGTCAGGGTTAAGCTGACATTTGAGCAGAGCTTTGAAGAACACGAGAATCTCTGATGGGGCATTGGGAAGGGAAAAGGCTGTTCTAGGCAGACGGGAGAGATGCCCTGAGCAAAGGCTGGCAGGTGCAGTGGTGGCTGGAACCTAGCCTAGCACCCTGTGGGATGAGGTCATGGACTGCTCAACCTCTCAGCTAGCCTCGCCTTCTGAGGTCACCTGATCCGATTAACATCTGACTCCTCCAATAGTCTATGCAGTAGGGACCTCATTTGTCTCAGTCGCTGCTCTCCTATAGTGCCCTGGACAGGGTCTGGTACATCAGAGGTGCTCAATAAATATCCGTTAACCAAACGAGCAGCTTCTCCCCAGACACCATGCAGGCAAGCGCTTGTTCCAACAGCTCCTGTGAGAACCTCCCACAGACTCTAACACAGCGGTTTGCCAAGTGTGGTCCCTTATGCATCACCTGGGAGCTGGCTAGAAACGCAAAGTCTGGGGCCCCAACCCGGACCTGCAGAACCAGAAGCTCTGGAGCTGAGGCCCGGCAATCTTAACAAGCTCCCGAGGACGGTTCTGCTGCACGTTAAACTTTGAGCACTGAAGCTCTAAAGCTATACCCAAAGGCACCATAAGAGCTCATGAAGAACCCTTTTGCAGATGAACAAGCTAGAACTGTGGCAAAGCCTGCCCTGGAACCCAGGTATTCTTGACCCATTCCTTTCCCCAGACCAGGCCAGGGCATAAAGAAGAGGAGTTTGCTTATCCGCCCAGTCAGGTTGCTGGAACGGAGACTTGGAAACGCCAAGGGTCTAGAAACAGAGGGCGGGGCGTTCCTCCCCGGAGTAGAGGGCGGGGCTAGCGCTCCGAGCCCCGCCCCATTCCCGTTGCCCCGGGAAACCCCGGGTTGTAACAATAACCCGCTGACGCGCTTCTGGGAGGGATCCTGTCGAGGCCGAGGGCGGGACAGCCCCGCCGCGGACCAATGGGAGCACTGGGGTCCCGCCCCCTGGCCCCCTCCCCGAGCGCCGAGCAGGGGGCGGGGTCGCGCCCGCTGCTCCTCCCCTGCTCCGTAGGCGGCGCTGTTGCGTGCAGGGGCTGCGGCTGGGTCGCCCGAGCTGGGAGCTCCGTTGCCCCCACCCCCAGCCCACGGGCGGGGCACCCGGGCAAGCCGAGGATTCCGCGGCCCGGGAGAGCACGCCCCGCCCCCTCCTTCGCCGGGTCCGCCCCCTCCCCGTCCCCCGCCCATCCCGAGGTGCAGCCGGCGCTGAGCGCGGCAGGCGCGGGAGCTGGCGCTGGAGCCGGAGCGGCCGCGGCGGCGGCATTCACGGGGCGGCGGCGGCGGCGCGGGCTCCGGCACCGGCTCGGGCTCCGGCATGGTGCAATCCAGCCTCGTCCCGGGAGAGCGGGGCCCGCGCGCAGGGCCGGCGCCCAGGGAGCGGCGGCAGCGGCGGTGGCGGTGGTGGCTGCAGGCGCAGGCAGGCGGCAGGTGCTAGAAGCAGGGCTGGGCGAGGTGTGTGCCCGCTGGGCTCCCGGGCCGCCGCCCCCTCACTGCCTGAGTCTTTCCCTCCCTGCTTGCTCCCCAGCGCGTCCAGCCCCCTGCCTCCGCACCCCGGCCCATGGCGCCCCGCAGTTGAGCCAGCGCCGCCAGGGACCCCTCCCGCGGGCCTCCCCGGGGCGTGCAGATCCCGGAGCCGCCCGCCCACCCTCCGCGGAGCCTCCCTCCCCTCCTCGCCCGAGCCGGGCGGGACCATGGCTGCGAAGCTGCGAGCGCATCAGGTGGACGTGGACCCGGACTTCGCGCCGCAGAGCCGGCCGCGCTCGTGTACCTGGCCCCTGCCGCAGCCCGACTTGGTCGGCGACGAGGACGGAGCGCTGGGCGCAAGGGTGGCTGAGGGCGCCGAGGACTGCGGGCCGGAGCGCCGGGCTACGGCCCCGGCGATGGCCCCAGCGCCGCCGCTGGGCGCGGAGGTCGGACCGCTGCGGAAAGCGAAGAGCTCCCGGCGGAACGCGTGGGGGAACCTGTCCTACGCCGACCTCATCACCAAAGCCATCGAGAGCGCCCCGGACAAGCGGCTCACGCTCTCGCAGATCTACGACTGGATGGTCCGTTACGTGCCCTACTTCAAGGATAAAGGCGACAGCAACAGCTCGGCCGGCTGGAAGGTGGGGGCGTCTGGCTGGGGAGGGGGATTGGGGACGCCGACTGGGGCTCCCAGGGGCTGATAGGTACATCTGGGCTCTGGGCGGGCCATCGGGAAGGGAGCTCTTTGGCACCCTCAGGGGTCACGGAGTGTGCGCCCAGGGCGTGGGGCCGGCCAGCAGACAGGCGGGGGCGTGCTGGGAGCAGCTGTGTGCGTGCTCCCTTGCGGGGAGGGACACGGAGTGGGAGGTCTGGCGGGGTGATGAGGGACTGCCTCTTTGAAGCGTCCCTGAGGAACATCCCCACCCGGTCCTTGGGGGCATAGCGGAGGAGCCCATTCTCAGGCATGGACACTGGGGAGCCTTCCCTTCCTCCCCTGAGTTTGCTTTGTGTTACTCTTGTTTTACCGTTTCTGCCAGGGCACCCTTCTTAAAGAGCTGGAATAATGACTTGGGGCCAGTGGCTGCTTTCCCTCCCAAATCTCTTCCACTGCCCTTCCTGGAGCTGTCCCCAGGGTGAAGAGCGTGACCATAGGCCCACAGTTCTTCTTGTGGTGCCGGGAGTTCACCCTAGGGCACCAGCCAGCCTGGGGTGGGAAACTTGGCAGGTGACCTGAGATTTGAGTTCTCCATGGGGCAGCTGCTGACCCCCCTTACCTGGATTGGTATGGGGGCACTGGTGATGACCCCTGCTGGTATGAGGGCAGGGTGTTGAGGGCTGGGGATCTGTCCTTGCCCACCCAGGCTGCCTGTCTTCTACTTCCCTGGCTTTCTGAGCCCAGATGCATTTAGGGATTGGGGGAGGAGCAGGGGTACCCTGCAAAGGCCTCAGTGCCAGCCAGTGGGAAGGGGAGAGCCATCTTGGGAGAGGACAGGGGCTTGATTGGATTGTGGCCTCCAGACCCACCTCTTCCCCTGGCCATCTTATTTGGGAATGCGATAGCCTGTGCCTTTGGGGGAGAGGAGGTTGGAGGGGGACTTGTGCCTAGGGGGTGAGTTATCAGGCTTCCTATGGGAGTGGGGGCCTCTGTGAGGGAACACGCCTATGTCAAGGGAGAGGGCAGTGCCCTGTGGTGGCTGCAAGCAGGGCCAGAGGAAAGAGGTGTGCTAGTGGAGGAGGGGAGGATGGTGGACATGGGCAGCTCTAGATGCCCATGGGCAGCATTGTAGGGACCAGGGTATCCAGACCTGGGAGCCCATGGCTCTCAGGCTTTGTGCTGGCAGCTTCTCTGTCTCTTTTGGGACAGTATGGGGCTGGGACACAGGCTGGAGGAATAGACCTAGGTCTCCTTTCCCATCCCCCTGGGTTCAGTCCCCACCAGAATATTTATTTCTCCCAAGTGTGTTCTGCCCTTGGGCTTGGCTCCCACCTCCCTCCTTGCTCCTTATGCCCTGGCCCACCTTCCTCTCCACTCTGTAGATGTATTCACTGTCCTCAAGCACACAGAGTTCAGGCAGCCTCCTCCAGGAAGCCTTCCCTAACCCTTTTTAGCTAGCTGAGGACTTCCACTTCTCTGGCCCTCTCCATGCCCATGGTGGGTTTTTGTTGTTTGTGTCCTGTCTCATTTCCACTTCCCAACCCACCTTTGGAAGACGGTGTTAATGTCACAGCCATTCTGTGCCCACAGCACCCAGCATAGAGCCTGACACCAAGAAGCCATCTGTGCATGTCTAGTGAAGGAGTGAGGAAATGAGCGACTGGTGAAGAGGATGCTGAGGCAGGGGAGAGTAGGCCAGGAGGGCTTCCTGCAGGAGGTGTAGCTCCCACTGGCTTGATGGATTAGGGAGTATAGGGAAAGATGGGAAAAGGGGACATGAGGCTGGAAGTCAGGAGAGACCTGCAGTTCACTGAGGCTCTTGGGCCAAGCTCTGTGCCAGGCACCTTCACACATCTCCTTTCCTGCTCTCAGCAGTACCTGAGGGGGTTTTACTGTGACATTTGCAGATGAGGGCACTGAGGCCCAGAGTGGAAGACTGCCCTGCCTAAAATCAGAAAGCTGGACTCCAGCCCAGGTGTATCTCCCTCCAGGGCCACCTGGAGCCTCTGGAACAGTGTCCCGCTGGCATTTGGGAGTGGGAGGGGGACACCGAAGGCATTTGAACAGAGGCAGATATAAATCGTAGAATGTGGTTGAGAATGTGCTTGGAGATGATTTAGTCCCATGAGTTCATTTCTCAGCCTGTGAGACTGAGGCCCTGGAAGGGGCTAGGACTCTTCTTGGGGCATCAGTGAGCGGCAGGCTCTGGATGAAGGCCCAGGTCTCCCGCCTGCTGATTGGATGCGGTTTCCACTGCACCACACTGCTGGGGACACACTGGTTCTCCCTGCGCTGGGCTCCCAATCCTGGGCTGGGGCATCAGAGAGGGAGCTTCAGTCTTGGGCTCCTGGCCTAGGCTGTGGCAGACACCACCCAGGCACTGAATGGGGCCTGATGCTGTCTCCTCAGTGGCTGGCCTCCTTCCATCCCACCCCCTGCACCCAGCTCCCCAGGGAGCTTCCTGCCCCTGAGCCCCTTCTCTTTTCCCAGTCACTTCCTCCAGGGGCCTGGTGGAGGAACCATCCCCAACTCCTAGCCAGTCTCAGGTTGACATGGGTACATCTCAGGTGCCAGGGCTGGGACCAGGGCCCATTGTTCCTTCCTCACTCCCCTCTCCCATGAAGGTGTTGCACTTGAATCCCTGGAGTGTACCTAACCCTGTTATATAGGGTGCAGGGACCAAGGGAGCAGGCATTGGACCTTCCTTCAGAATACATCAGAGCTGAGCCAGTTCCACACCCAGGTCCTGTGTTTTGAAGACAGGAAAGGCTGGGCTGGGGACAGGGGTATGGAGAAGGTGAGTTGGATCCCCTGGGGAGCCAGGGAGGTCCTCACAGAGGAGGTGACCCTTGATGTGGCCTGCCTTCACTGGGGAGGGGAGAATTTGGGAGATGGTCTTCCAGGGGATGTTGACTGCATACCAAAGGCAGGAAGGTGGAATTGTGGGTGTTTGATTTGGGTGTGCCAGGCTGGAAGCAAGGGCTCCAGGCATGGCAGGGAGGTGGCATGGGAAAGATGGAGTGGGCCAGATCAGGAAGGGTTGACAAGGAGGTAATTGAGTGGTACTAAGGACAGGAATTGGAGGAGACAAGACCAGCAGCAGGCTCAGGACACCCAGCCAGGCTGAGGCCTAAAGCAAGGCTGGGTTCAGTGCTGGGACTCCCCATCAAAGGGGCTGGTTGTGTTTCCCTCCAGGACTGGGATCTATGCTTAGACAGGGGGTCCCTCTCCCTCTGCAGTGTCCCAAAAGTGTAGCTGTCAGGGTAGAGCCTCCCACTTCCTCTCAGATGCTCTGGTCCCACTTTACCTTAGCTAGCCCTGGACTCCTCCGGGAAGCCTTCCAGGCTGCTGGGAGTCCTAGTGCTCCTTCGCTTAGCGCCCCTGGAGTTGTTCTGCCTGCTATTGTGTTTCCTGGCTGCCAGCTCCATTGGGAGCTCCCAGCCCAGGCCTGGGCGCCTCCCATTCCTGTCCCGAGGTCTGGTGGTGGGAAGGAGCGCAGTGGATGGGGACTTCCCTTCTCTCTCAGGGGCTGGGGCAGCCTGGCTGTGGATGAGTGGTGCTACCCCTGTCTGGCCCAGGCCCTGGCCCAGTAAGTTCCAGGTGGGGTGGGGGCCGGGAGGGAGAGACTGATCTCAGAGTCCAGGAGCAGGGTCCTGCTACAGCGCTGAACGGTGGTTGAGTGTAGGCCACCCCTCTTGGTCTCCCCCTAGCCGGCTCCAGCAGGGCTCCCTCCTCCTCCATTGTCCTCCGGGGATCCCCAGCCCCGAGGGCTGGTGGGGGTGTGGGAGGAGGCGGTGTGAGCCCGGGTTGGGGGGTGTCCTCACCCCCCTCTCAGCACGAGCGGGGGGCTGGCAGCTGCCCGCCTCCTGGGCACGAGCCCGTGCCAGCCGCTCCTGGCACAGTTGCTGGCACGCCCGGCAGACTCCCACGGCCACCTGCTCACACCCACCCACGAGCGCTGGCGCGCTGCGGGCCCTTCCGGCTTCCCGGGCCTCCCGGCGCCCCTCCCCCGCCGCCGTGCCCCTGCGCCCCCACCCCGTGCTCAGCTCCCCGCGGACCCCCTCGCTCCCACCGCCCCACGGCCGCCCCCCTCCCTGCGCAACTTGGGGAGCTCGGGAGGCGGGGCGTTGGGAGGACCCTGGGGTAGCCATGCCGCGGGGGAGGGGGACGGGAGGCAGACAGACCGACAGACAGGGTGAGGGCCCCGCCTGCCACCTGGCGCCGCTCCAGCGGGACGATGGCGGGCAGCGCCGTGCCAGGCGGTAATTGCAGACAGACTAATTTAAAGAGATGAGACGGTTATTTTTAACTCGCGTTAAGGTAATGAACGGCGCGGGGGGTTTGCGGGTTCGAAAGTTCAGCGCCCCGAGCCCCCACTTTCTGTGGGTCAGGGCCCCCTCTGCACGCCAAGGGCTCCAAGCCTCTGGACTGACTAGAAATGAGAGGGAGGTCGAGGAACAGGAGAGGCCCTGCCAGAGGACAGGAGGGGGTGGAGAGCGGGCTGGGACAGAAGCGCCCACCAGCTGAGAACATGTCCCATCAAATCCTCAGCACTGCTGTCCCAGGTGGGTTGGTATCCCTGTTGTCCAGGGGGGGAAGTGACTTGCCCTGAGGTCACACACCTGGGAAGTGGCAGATCTGGGAGTTAGACCCCCTTCTGACCCCCAAACTCAAGCTTTTCCTGTGCCATTGGGTAGGATTGGGGTGGGGTGGGGGCTGGAGAGAAGGGCTTGGGTTTGGACTCTGGAAGGGTTAGGGGCTTGTTCCTTGCAGCCCACCTTCCCCTGTCTTTGAGTGGCAGCTGGTGATGGCAACCATGCGGGATCCTGGGGGCTGTGGAAGCCGGCCTGTGTGTGTCTTGTGAGGGTTGAGGGGTGGTGGCAGACTGCGTGTGTGGCTATGAGCCTCTGGGAGGTGTGTGCATCAGCTGTAGCGGGGGGGGGGGGGCCCTCCTCACCTCAGTTTCCCTTACATCCCAGCTGACTC